CGTGTCCTTTCCCCCGGGGGGGGGGAAGGAGACAAAGCGGAATCACGGCACAAACTTCGCGCAGGGCATGTTTTCTTGCAGCCTTACCGCCGCTGACGCCAGCGGCCGCCTTTGCGCTGCGGAAGTGGTGGCTTGTTTTTGCGTTCAAAACGGGACGTTATTGATTTTCAAATATAGACAGGCACATTAAAACTATTTAATTTTATGAGCCATGCTCACAGAGCAGAGGGCACCTCTGAATCGAGCAGGGACTGACTCGCTGCTCGTCTTTTGCCTTTTTTAATGTTTTCACATTTTGCGATGCTTTGATATTACAGAAGGTCAAGAATTTTTTAATACGGTTTGTCTTCATCTGGTTTGTTGTCGCACCTGTTCTTTGACAATATTTTTGCATCTTATGGTGCCCCATTTTGAGATTTCTTGAAAGCCAAGATCTAAAACCACATGGCTATTTTCAGTGTGCAGCTGAAATACCCTAAAAAGACCAGTTTTTCTTTGCAGGGTTTATGTTTCATGTTCTCAAAGAACAAGAGCCTGATGAGTATTTTGAGTCGAGGACCCCAAAGTGAGGGCAGTCAGGTGCATTCTGAAAACCCTGTCAAGCGTATGTAAAATTGATGTGAACTCGAGGTCCTTGTGGATTTAGAGTTAAGTGTTTCCTCTGCTTTCCTTTGAAGTCTGAGTTGCAAAAATAAATAAATAATCTTGCATTTTAGTAAGATACACTGCAACTAAATTATGGTTTCAAAGCTTGAAGTCTCTAATCACAATAAAATATTGCTCTGTTTTCAGAGATTTCATACAGTATTAAATGAAAGTGTGGGAATATACATTGCTCGTATGTGTCCCTTTAGGAGTTGGACAGAAGAATAATGAATGGAAGTGACTGACATCATGACAACCATCAGACAAAGAAGGGGTGGAAGACTCGCAGAAGCAGCTGAAGAACAGCTTTCAGAGCAGAAGACTGTGAAGCCTGATGGAAAAACTCGGTCCGGTGGGTAATGAAAAAGATTGTCACGTTATGACTTTTTACTAGCATTTTAGCTTTTGGTGTCTGTCCTAAGCATGGGTTAGAACTAGGTATGTACCAAATAAATGGTCGTATTTGAATATGTATATTACCAAATTTAACTCAATGAGACAGAGGGCAAAGAGAATGAAGCACCAGATTGTTGCATGATAATCTCTCGTCTATTTTAAAATCCTAATTTAAATTAGTAAAAATAATTTTGTCCATTTAGTAACCGTGATACGCTATCAGAGTTCACAGACCTATCTATAGGTTCCTAAAGGAGTCACAGGTCAGATTACCTGTAACATATAGATAGAAGGGTTTGAAGACCTTGATCAGCAGTAGTTAAATATAAGTAGATTACACATGAATCTGAATTTAATTGCAAACCTTTACTTTTTGACTTTTTAGGACAGACTAACCAGGTGAATTTAAAGGAGAGGCATTAAGTGTCTTAGTTTGAGGATCTGTTTAAATAATGAAATACTAACAACATTCTTGCTCAGAATTACACTTTCAGAGTTGGCAAAGTTTGTTGGGTTTTATAGGATTTTTGTTTGTTTGTTTTAAGGGATATTCCCATATCTCTCTGTATGCAATTTGGGTAGACGAGTGGAAAGTTACCCTGTTTTTTTGCACCAGTATGTTTAGGCTAAACACACAGGGGGAAAGTGGTCTTAGTTCTTGTCCAGCCCTCAGCTCCCCTGAATTGCGTGCTTGCTACCTGTTGTGTAGATGTCATCTGCAGTATGAACTAGCCATTTCATTGATATAATTCCACATCTCTAGGATTAATATTAAGTCTTATATCAACATAAACAATTAAAACGGAAACTTAAGTATACAATAAATTGATTGACCTACTTAGAATAATGTGGAAAGGTTGCTTTTCTATCTGTAATCTCATTCTGATGTCATCAGAAGATATGTGCAATTGAAAGCATGACATCATTTTCGGAGACTGCTTTGACCAGTGCTCAGCCTCTGTGTGGAAATTTAGTGAGACCAAAAAAAAGGACAGCTATATTAAGAAGTTGGTGGAAGAATTTGATGTCTTGCTTTGAGACCTAACATCCTTAATGGCCTTAATTAAAAATGATGCCCCAGAAGATATCCCAATGTCTTTGTAATTAGATTTATAAATTAGATACGGTATTTGTCTAGATCAGTATCGAATCATGGTGTTGTTTCTTAAAATATAACTACATTTTTCCAATTAAGGCACACCTTAATTTCACTTCACATGGAAGTAAAGCACCCTGAGTTCGCCTATATGAAAAGATAAAAATCACATCTCCCTAAAGAACTCTTAAAACCAAGTCTCTTATTACTTACAGAATGTAAATGTAAACTGTATTAGCACAGGCACTATATAAATGGGCTTTCAAGATCCATTTAAATTGAATTACACCCTTTGCAATTACAAAGTGAAAATTTTTTCTTTGAAGATCATTCAGGTGGAAAGCTGTGGAACATACTTTCACTAACAGTTGGTGGGATTGTTGCCGTCTGTCTTGGACTTCTTACTTCTGTTTATGTTGCAACACTGCATGAAAATGACCTCTGGTTTTCCAATATCAAGGTAACAGTTATTTTCATAGTTTTCTCAGTGCTTTCGTAGAACATTAATATAAGCGTCAGTTGAAATTTCATTTATTTACCTATTTTTCTTGTAACTTGCTCAAAAACATAGAATATTCCTTTTTTTTTTTTTATATGATATGTAAAAGCAGGAGCCGTGCTTCACTCCCTACCACTTTTCACATATGCAGTCGTTTCCATAAATGTCTTTTCCCCAACTGTGCTCTAAACACATTGCCATGCAACTGTGCCATTATTCTCCTGCCTGAGAAACAGCTACTCAAATTCTTCCAACCATTGATCATTACCTAGAGTTTCAACAGTCTACTGTATGTTGCTCTGTAATCATCTTTCTTGTGTCCAAAGCGATCATAGAGCAAGGAAAAAACAGTTTTAACAATTATATGCAAAATCCTGACATACAGTTCTGTAACTGATTATAATGTGATCTTCTAATACAGCTTAGGCACAATCTCTCAGTATTCAATACTAATTTTACATAATATTATCCCAAATGTGCAAGCTAAAAAACATTTTTCAGACATTTACCAATGTAAAATCAATATCTGCAATGTAGAACTTTAATTCTCAAGATCCGGGACTGACTAGTTTTTTTCCCAGAATCTTTGCATGGGAGAATAATGCAGTTGTACATACATCTAAATTTAACCAGGGCAAAGAAACAGGTGAGTCATTTTCCTTTTGAAGATGCCTAAATTCACTCTCTGATAGGTCTACATGTATTACTTTATTCAAAGCTTATATATATTTAACTGGAATGCTTGTATTGCAGTCTGCTTCTTTCCTACACTATGCCCTTTTCATACACCAGAACCATTTGCATACTGATAATAAAAATAGTTGGCACTTAGTGAAAAAATTAATACTGTATTATACATCTAATATTGTTCTGTACGCACTCTCATCTTTCTTTAAATATATAGATAGAACGGATATATACTGAAGGTGTCCCTCAGGTTTGCCTTCTCATTCCTAAAGCCAGCATTGACTAATTGCACAAGTTTTAAATTTTTTGAAATACAGGTGTATGTGGCCACAAGTTCCCATCTGAACATAACAGAACATTTTATGTTCTCCTGTTTAACTAATACAGAGTGACACAAAGTGCACCAAGAGAAGTAGGTCCGTAGTTGAAATTAAGTTGCCCAAAAATGGATGAAATGCCCATTTCATCTGATAAATATTTTATTTGCTATAAGTACAGTCTGGTGCCATTAGATATTCAAACTGAAAAAAAAAAAAACCCTTCAGATTTCTAGTCTGGTTTCTGCTGTCTCTGTATCTCTTATTTCACCCTAAGAACTTGGTATGATAACCAGTAATACTGGAACCTGTTGAGCAATTTAAGCCAATTTGATGGAAAGAAAAAGGTCTCAAAAATACTAAGTTCATCTACCAGCAGAGTAAAGGAGAAGGAGATGCAGGCATGTGAAAAAGGGTATAATGTGAGATCAGAGATGTTAACTCTGCCAGAAAGTCTGTGTGGCTGCACTGTTAATTTTAAAACGATAACAACAGGAAAAACTTTAGTGAGATTTAACATGTTATTAGAAATAAAATAACCAATTTTAAGGCAGAGCCAAAAACGACCAGGCTTCATACATCCTCCTGCTTTCAGAACTACGTGTCCGGTGTGTGTATCCTATTTGGGTGTTTTGCATGTACACTCTCTCAACTTACATGACTCTTGAATACTCAGACAAACGTAGTTTATTTTTGCATTTGCCTAAGTTGATAAGAAGTGGTTACTTGTAAACGCTTACTTTACAAGCAAGATTTGAAGGTACTTTTTTTAAAGATTTGTTCTCAAATTATTTAATACAGTTTAAGAACAAACAGATTGTATCCCCTGCAGATTATTTGCAAATAGGAGGAGGCTGGGAATGATTCAAGTCTCTTACAAATTATACTGCAATTGTCTGCAAAGTCAGAAACTGACTGTGCTTTCGCTTTGGTTAACACAAAGTTTTCAAAGGTTTTAGTGTTAATTGAAGTACAGTCTAGACTCATTATCTTGCCAGTATCCATATCATAGCATTTTATGGCCAGAAGTGATACTGGCAAGATAATGAGTCTAGACTGTATTTTGATGCTCTCTTTCTCTTAACTAAGCAGAGAAATAATACATTAGAATATATGAGGATGAGATAAAGTTTAAACAAAATACTCTTTTATGATTGGTATGGGAAGAGAAGACTACATACGAAGAGCTTGTGAAATCTGCTGGTAAGCTGAGACCAGAGAGCTCATCCTAACATCCGTAAAACAATATCTATGCCTAAATGTATCCGTGGACTAGTATCTGTAGACATATGTACATGTTTTTCATCATTTCTAAATTGCCTAGTCTAATTTTGACACATACAATATACTAACAAAAGACAACAATAAAATATACTGTGTAACAATTTTAGAACCTTAGGAATTATCTTGAAAATAAGTGGAAATTTTCTGGTTTTGTTTTCTCTAACATTTTGTAGTTTGGCCAATACATATATTTCTGCATATTTTAACTGAATCTTCTCAAAATTGTGAAGTAATAAGTTTTATTTTATTGCACACCCCAACACTAATTCCCAGAAGGGAACCATAATCTAATCTTTGACACACAATTATTGTGTGCCTTGGTTAATGAAATGCAGAGGTTATTTTCCTTTATTTTATTTTTATTAAACATGACATGCAGAGGAAACAGAAGCAACACTAATACACATTCAGTGTTTCATTAACCCCCATACCTCTGAAACAGTAATGAATCACCATTGCTCTGAAACAGAGGAGAGTAAATTCTAAATTAGTCGTATTTCCATACATTTTAGATTAGTAACTTCAGCTACTCTGAACTGGCTGTAAATAGTGCAAGTTTGAGAGGGTTATATTATTGAATTCTGATACAAGAATTACATAGTAACATCTTATCTCTCTGAATACTTTTTGTTTCCATCCAATGAGCTACAATTAGTCAGATGATAAGAATTCATACATAAAATGGTCTCCTAATAAATTATCTCCAATGCTATGAAATATCCTATTGAAAGAGAAAGCTGTATTCATAGATAGTACAGGTATTAAGGGAGCACAAAGTGTCAGAAACAGTAAAATAGGATGGAAACTGTAGGGTAAAGTCAGTTTTACCTGTATTCAATCTTAGCTTCTTCAGCAATCTCAGTTGTTGTTTAAAAAGCCTTCAGGGTCTGTCTCCTTACTTATTCTTTTCATCATCGTTCATCAGCTGGTAATGTTCCTCTGCACTCCCAACACAAGATGCAAATAGAAAGAATTATTCCAAAGAAAATTTAAAGATACCAGTCCTGTATCATTTTCTAGAATGCTGAGTCGAAGAGCTTCCACTCAGTTAAACTTTCTTATTCTAGGCAAAAAATGTGAGATGATTGCCCTTCTGCAGCTGCTCCTTTGCCACTAACTTCAAACTAGGCCAGAAAAAGTCATATATACATGATGCTTAATACTTTTTGGTAATTTTCCTTTAGCTTTCTCCCTCATAATGTAGGTTAAAAGGGGGTAAATTGGAGACAGCTTATTCAAAATTTTTTAAAGTATGCATATTTAGAAAGCTTTTGCAACCGAAAATACTGACAGCTCAAATTGATCATGAGTTTGCAATGTGGAATGAGATCAAATTAATGACATTGGGCTGGAGTTAAAATCATAATTTTATGGATCTGAGAAGCTTCCATGCAGACTACTAGATGCAGGGTTAGCTTGATCAAAGTCAGAAAAAGGTGGTAAAGTTAGAAGACATTAAGAAATAGCATACATGCCGAATGGGTTGTAACAATATGTTAAAGGATCCGAATTGAAAAACTTAGCTAAATGGCAAGTAAGATAATAAATGATAGCCAGTTAAGTTATACTGACAAAATTATTTTGGGTATTCCAGACAAAAGTAGTACAGAATAAGTATAAAACCGTACATCATTAAATTTTACTCTGGGTTTATACAGTCAAACAGCATGAATATGTTGCTAATCCATGAGATATTCATATTGTCTTATTGATGAATAAAATCTTTCTTTAAACTCTGAAGCTGGTTATTGTCCCTAAAGGGCAATGGATTACTTCAACAGTTACTTAGTCAGACCTCAAATGATCGGGCAAAACATAAGATATTAATTTTGAAAGTGATATTGATAGTTTGAATGTAATTACAGTCTCTGTTGCTGTGTACGTTAATAACTTTAAAAATAAATTCAGATTCCTGAATTGCAAGACTTTTTCCAAGGCTTTCTGAAAGATGTACTGTTTTTTACGAGATACTTACACTTTACGGTAAATGTCTGCTCTGTTTTCCCGCTGTTTACATGTTTTCTATTCATGCTTTAAGAGGCTGTCATTGGAATCAGTGTACTGAAGAAGAGCATTCATTTATACCATTAAAATAAAGGCTCTCATAGTACGGATGAATTAGACTTGATGGGAGACTTGTTTTGCTGGTTTTCCCTTTATATGAAGGTACTGCTCTCTTTCTACAGCAGTAGAGGGAAGTCTGCATTGTTCATCTGACACTTGTGGTTCATCTTGCAGCATTAAATTAGATGGAGGTTTTTGAATATACTACTTAGGTTAAAAAGGTGGAATTTTTGTTCTGAATTAAGACTCCATTGATATGTGGCCATCACAATTGCTGAGCTGTTACATTTTGAAGCTTGCCAATTGTATTCAACTCTAAAAATAGAGAAAGTAAAAAAGAGTTCATCGTGTAAGTGTTTGCATCTTAACTTCAAGGTAACTGGAGTCACAACTTGTCAAAATACCTGTAGTTATGGCTTTTCTGTAATTTTAGTTACATTTAATGGAAAGCTAGTTCAGTTTCAGGTGTCCTCCAGCAACGATTTACACAACTAGAAGAATTTTATTCTGTGATTGTCATACAAAGTATTATTTTCAATACTGCTTTCAATAAGTTAGTGATTTTTAGCTGCTTTGGTATGTGTGAATTTTGTTCTTATTCACTAATAAATATGCCCAGTATGACAAATTTGCCATAGTCATTGGAGAAATAGAGTAATATGGTTTCTTCATCACAAAAGTAGAAAAAGCAGATGTCTGAAGAG